TACGTGTGGTAGGGGGGTTAAACTGTATACGTGTGTGAGTTTCCCCATGTCTCTGATTAAATTGTGGAAAAATGAAAGTCTATTGGTACTGTGTTTATCTTTCGTTTGGTTTTGAGCAAAGCCATTTCAGTCAGGGTGACTTAGTTTGGGCTTGTTACGGTTCTTCAGAAATAAATACATATCACACTCAGTACACATAGCAGTAATACAGTATATTGTCATGATATAGTCTTTGTAATCAAGATGGTATTCAAGATATGACCTGACAAAGCCTTTATATGTTGACTAGTGTACAGTGACTTATCAGAAGGCCTTCAGTCAGAAAAATGATTTTAAAAAGTCAATACTCTATTTGACCACAAGGACTAAACAAATTCTGAAGAGAACGTCAAATTAAATTCATCTATAGGAAAAGTAAGGAAAAACAATCAACGTCATACACGCACGCACACACACAGGCATTCATCGTCAGGGGCAACAGTGATTCATGGTCATCAAATATCTAAAAGCTCACATAGAGTAATAGGCTCTTATTTTCTGTAATGAGAGTTATTCCAGTCACTCATTCATACCAGGGACAGATAAATGAACTATATATATTTCTATTGACATGTTATGGATAACATTTTATTTCATATGAGCAGAGAATACAATGATGGAGCCATAATGTTTAGGCCGTTCATTCACAACGCATGAAAGCAAATCCAATTATATAGAGCAGCGCTGCAAATGGCTGTTACTAACGTTCATTTGCAGTTAGTTAATATTGTGTGTGAATGTCTAAGTGGTTTTGATATGACTGTATAATCTATGTATCGTGTCAGTATGATGATCATTTGTCGGCCGCTGACAAAGGATGATTTCCAGTGTCAGAGAGTTAAAACATTAGCCCTACTCACATAGGACAGGAAGTATAGGGACTATTCATCATTCAACACCTTTGTTCCTACAGCCTTCAACATTATTATGAGAGAGAGGGAGAGAGAGCGAGAGACGAGAGAGGGGAGAGAAAGAGAGAGGAAGAGATAGAGAGAAGAGAGAGAGGAGCAGGAGAGCGAGAGAGAGAGCTCCGAAGAGAGAGGAGAGCTCGCGCGCAGCTGGATCTAGAGAGATCTCTTAGACTCAGATCGAGATCGTACGCTCTTGGGATCTATCTGACGAACTCTATCGCGGGAGAGAATCTCCTCGCGCCGAGGACTAGACTTCTTGAGAGAGAAGAGAGCAATCTAGAGAGATCGCTCTTATATCTCTCTCTTATTAGCTCTAGCTCTCTCGTCCTCGAGAGCTCTTATCTCTATCTCTCTATACGCTCTCTCTCGACTCTCTCTCTCTTCTGCCTCTCTTCTCTCTCGCCTCTCCTACTTCCCTCTCAAGCTTTTCGCCTCCTCTTAGATAGCGAGAGAATATAGAACCAAGAGCAAGAGAGACTGTTTTCAGAGATCTGTGTTTGTCTTGAAATGGAATAAAGAGAAAATGTCTTCTTCACTAACCTTCAGACAAACATAAAATGAACAAATAAACAAGAAGCTCGCTGAGTAAACAGAAGAGATCAAGGGAAAAGGAATTGGAAGATCTCAAACATACTGTAGGGTCTAATGATGTGGACCCGACCTACGATGTTTTGTGAACCATGCTCGAATGATTCGTAACGTTGCCTGAAACCTGAAGACTTAAGTTAGCTCCCCAAACTCAGCGGGTTAATGCAGTCTTGTGGAACACAGGAGACCTGGGTCATAGTATTTATAGATATCCTGAAAATATGAACAGCTATTTCATTATCAAATCAGTGCAGGGTGTAAAGTATTAGAGCATTTACATTTAAGAATTAGACTTCTAATTTGTTCAGTTATGGGATCCATTTCACTGGCTGTTTCGGAGGGTTAGCAGACCTGTAAGTCTAAAGGTCTTGGTGTGTGTGTGTGTCTGTCTGTCTGTCCTCTCTCTTTCTCCCTCTCCCTCTCGCTCTCTTCTTCCCTCCTTCTCTCTTTCCCTCTCAACAGTATAGCATTTCAATATCCCAGTGCAGACTCATTGGTCTTTATAAGGAGTTTTTAAATAACAGCCTAATACATGCTTACAGGCATTAAACAAAATCTGAGAGCCATGATCACAGATAAAAGAGCTGTCCATGCAATGCATTACAAAGTCAGACCTAATTGAAAAAATAATAAAATACTGTCTGTCTCTGGTGAATACTCAGAAGGAGTGTCAAAATATCCCCCCAGAATCACAAACAGGGGTTCTCATAAATTCTCTGTTTGTTTTTTGACTACTGTGTCCTTGATGTGTCAAGGAAGAAAAAATCTGCCTTGGTGAAACTACTCATAAATACTGTGACTACATTTCTCTCGACACCTCTGATGAATTTGGGGAGAAAAATCCCCATTTTCCGAAACAGCGGGACGTTTCTGTGAACTTTTCCTTACCTCACATGTTGAATGTGTGTCTCAGAACATAACATTTTACTTATTTATTATTTCCAAATGTTCCTAGAACAATCCATTCTTGGCGCCAACCATCCAACCGCAATTAAGAATGTTTTAATGAATTCTAATGTCAGAGGCAAAACTCTGTTTCTCTCTCTGTTACAGACATTTCTTTCACAATCTCCTATCTTTTTTCTCTTTCTCTCTGAATCTCTCTCTAACTCTCTCTCTCTCTAACTCTCTTTCCCTCTCTCTCTCCCTCTCGCTCTACTGACCTGCGTTTCACTCCTCTCCCAGGCCCATATTAACAGTAACTGAATCTTTACCTTCTTTGAAACTCTATTCACCATGGCCAGAAACAGGGCTAGTGAAAGGCCTTCTCAAAACATGCTTTAATCTAGCTGGAATGTCTGAGATTGCTTCCATATGTGCCGAGATGCACATCAAAGTTCCTGTCCTTCTCCCTGGTCCAAATGAATGGAGACTGACTCTCACTGTGGGTGTTCCCTAAAGTTACAGTGGTTAACCGTAGACACACACACACACGCACACATACACACACGCACCTACACACACACTGACACACACACACATACAGGGGTTAACCGGAGATCGTAGACAGTCCCAGTGATGTCAGCGACTTGAAAAGGAAGGGTCGGTCTGGCAAATGACTACGGGATTTAAAATCTGCTAAGTGTATAACAATCACATAACTCACTCCGTTCTTCCATCTATCCATCCATCCCTCTATCCCCTCCCCTATATCTTTCTGGCCCCTAAACAAACCTGGACCCCTAAGTCCACTTCAGACCATGCAGGGCTCCAGACTGCGACCATATAGTCGCATTTTGCGACCCTTTGGAGAAGGGTGTAATTGCGGCCCGCAATTCGGGGCGTTCCTGCATGTGGGCGTTCCTGCATCTGCATTTGTCCACTTCTAAGCTAGGACTACAGTAAACAGGCGGAAGACGGGGGTGCTGCAGTACAGTAGGTGGCGGTAATGCACCAGAATGTTGGATGCCAACCGCCGATAAACCCCACAGAAGAGGAAGAGGTGGCTCTGACACAGGTAGCTAGCTAGGACCTTCGCCTTCTCCTGTCGGGCACTGCTTTCACACAATTCTGTTAGCGACAGCAAGGGCAGGTGTTCAACAGGTGCGAGTAGAAAATCAGGGGATACTTTTATTTCCCTTTTGGGGAGTGTTCCAGCAGAGGTAGTAATGCCCACATGCAGGAACGCCCCGAATTGCGGGCTGCAATTGCACACTATTGACCCTTTGACTTGGCTGTGCGAGTTACATTTTAATTGGTCGCATCAGTGCGAGCTGCACATTCTGCATGGTAACTTCACTCAAAACTTATTTTTTAAGAGGCTAAAGCCATGATTTGGTCAAACAGTAAAGTACATTATCCTCATGATTCCTGTAATGAAAGTGTCTGACTGCCCTTGAAGCTGTATGTCACGACTTCTTCCAAAGCTGCCTCCTCTCCTTGTTCGGGCAGGCTTCGGCGTTCATCGTCACCGGCCTTCTAGCCACTGCCGCTCCTCATCTCATCATTCCATTTGTTTTGTCTTGTTTATTACACACACCTGGTTCATATCCCCTCATCAGTACCTGTATAAGTGTTCCCTCTGCCCCCTTGTCTTTGTGTGTGATTGATTATTGTGGAGGTTAGATTAGCTCGGTGGAGCTCCTTGTATTTTATATTGCCGGGA